CGATATTCGAGGTTATGAGAACAGGTTGACATTTCGTCAACAAATCTTGTTGAATTTACCGTTTATCCTTGTCTATCTTATTGTCAGTTTGTATAATTCCATGTCTATCGGAGTTTTAAATAACTACGAAGCAACAGGTATTTGCGCAATGTTAATTAGGCAGATTACCTTGAAAAACATTGCTGACGTATTTCTGATATAGTTTTTTGCAAATTTCTCAGTTTTTAATAACAATTAATTTATTTTACTATTTTTTCTGTACTCCTATAACAGCGCCAGACAACACCTCCAGAGGAATGACGCCAATTTTGAATCACCCTGTATGTCACCAAAAATTGGTTTCGAAATCCCTATTAGGTTTGGCGTGAGATCAAGTCGAAGAAAACGGGCCACTCTATACACGTAATAAGTTCCCTCGCTTTCGGTGCCCTAAAACATCTGGTTTGCTTATTATTTGCCGCCTTTGATCAGTCATTTTTCCCCATTCAAAAACCTCTCCTTAAGTGTACACTGTGGCACAAACCTTGAAAGTAGTAGAAATTTCACGTGAAAAATAATCCAATACAGGATTTCTCAAGACAATGCCGCGAGTAAGTAGTTAATATTTCTGCGACGAGGTAAAAGGGATAAAACGCTTGAAATGCTCAACCATTTTAAACAATTATGAAAACAACGAACAGCTACATAAGCAGTGAATTACATGACAGGCTGGTAGTGCACGACCTGCAAAGAATTTCGTAATGTCTTTGTATAGTAGACCGGACAGACGGTGTTTATTAATAACCGTACGGCAGTTTTTTTCTTTCCTGCGTGAGAACTTATGGTACTAACTGTACATCGATTGTTGAGTGAGGAAGCACCTAATGTGGCATGCAAATTAAGTTTCCTAGTAGTTTAAATTGGATTTTTTCCAATGAATCAAAGTTTTTTTAGGTAACCCAGATGTAGCCCTGATTGCTGATTTCCTATTTAGATAATCAGCTTTTCCTCGTACACTTTCCGTGCTCTACTAACACGCATTTTCGCCAAAACAAAAAAAACGCGCACAGCAGGTCGGTTAAATGAATTAAAAGGCCCATAATTAAATGCTAATTTTCATGCGGCACGTTCCAATTAGCAAATGTACAATTAACGACGTGAAAACGCACAGAACGCGTATAATAATCACGTTTAAAAGCGTCTTTGATATTCCGTGGCACCCCTTGAGGGTGTTCACAGCGAATAAATCCAAATTAAGATGAGAACTTTATGCTCGGTAACACCCTTAAAAAATCCATTAGCAATATCCAGAGTACTACCATAGGGGTAAAATCAATTTACCCAATTGGTACTCAAGGCAATATGGTGCTGGTTAAATGAGGAATAGATTAATGGCACAGATTTGTTGCGGCTTCAAGCTGCTTCTTCGATATAAAACACTGTCGTTTATTTTGCGATCAAACACGTCGATGAAGGCCTGAACAGATCGAGGTGCCAGTCATTGTTTGGAAGATTTCCATTTGCATGTCGACTTTATGCCGAATATCTCGAGCGCCATATAATTTTTTTTACGGGCGGAAGTTCCATAAAAAATCGCCTGCAATTATTTTACGTAACTGTACCTCTTTGTTCGCCAATAGACATGCAAAATCGCGAGTACTTTGAAATAAATCAGCCGAGCATTGGTGTCGTATTGCACAAATCTGAGAAGTCAGTGGCGCGTGTACTGGCCATAATTTACCTGCCTTTATGTCGCTAATTATTTAAGACGGTTTGAATACTTTGCTCATGATTTACGAATTTTATAAAAGTTAAAGGAAAATTGGTAAAAAATTCACTTGTCTGGCTGTAATAATTCAACTTAATTGTTGGGTCTCTTGATGGTGGTTAATTGAAAACAACTGCCAACGCTTAATTTTCTCTTAATCAAAGGTAATTATCGGTAATTTTCTTGTTGATTCTGTTGAATTGAATGGGTTTTTAATCTGCCAACTAAGTAGTGTGGCCAGGTACAGAAAAACCAAACAAAACTGGTGCTGCAGAGACAAAAAGCTACATATACACGCAAATACGTGAAAGTAACCAACCAGCCAGCCATTTCACTTTTACCATTGTAGATTATTATGATTATATCGTTGATAACTATTATCGCAGCGTAATGTTACGTTCCAAAATTGATTTTGCCTAACCTGGATTTTAATACCTAATCGGATTAATCTGTTGATATTCGATCAAGCTGTGTCAATATACAAGGCATTTTGTTGACTTATTCTCTTTAAATGTCATTGCGCTTTGCCTTGGCGCTTCTAAACGAAAAACTCATAATTTTTGCGTGTTCGTAAAACGTTCTCAAGGGCAAACCGAGTACGGACACGCGAATATGTGTGGTTCATACACACGCTAAGCCGACAGTAATTACAGAGAGTAATACTAGCAGGGATTTATTCAGCACTTTGTGGATTTCCTGGAAACTGCTCATGTTTGTTCACTGCAGATTTTTGCCGATAAATTATAACGAAAAAATTATTTTGCACGGTAACACCCCGAAAAAATCCATTTGGAATATTGCGGGCGGTACCATTTAACAGCCAATAATTGACACTTGTGCAAACATGGGAACAAGGAAATATGAACCGGTTTAGATGCAAATCAATGTTTGAGACGCTGAGAAAGCTTCCCAGCTGGCCGAAGGATTGTTCCTTCAGAAGAACAATCGCAAAACGTCAGACGGTTTCAAATGTCGACCCACCTACATTGCGAGTCGTATCGATTTCTACAGATCACGAAGCGCTTGTAGTCGCAAATCAATCAGTGGCGCACAATTAAACAATTGAACCATCGTCGGTTCGGAAAACAGTCTCGATTCAACGTAGTCTGTCCCAAGCTTTTTGGTAGTTACGCAATAATTGTTCTTTTCCTATTTCTTGTCCAACCGAGTAACACGGAAATTTGATGTTATTAACGTATGTCTTATCAAATTGTTAGAATTCGCCAAAGTAAAGAATATTGAAATTAATCTGGACTGTAGGTAGTTTCTGATAATTTTTTCAGTTGAAGTTTTGATTGAAATTTTGCGATACAATTTCTATTTGTGTGTGTTCGTTACACAACAGAAGAAAGAAAGTATGAGTAAATTTCAATATGGCCTCTGAAATAATGACGTCACTGTCAAATAACTTGGGACTGACTATACATGCCCGCTGAAAGCAACAGTTTGCTAACTAGAGGCTGATTCGTCATTTCTTTTCGTTGTCCTTGGTTTGTGCTCTTTCGTATTAATAGCAATGAGGTGGTAGTCTGATGTAAATCATACTGATGCCAATCTTTGCAAAGCGAACATACCGAATTGATGAACGATTGATTCAAAGTGGTCGTTGTTGGGCATTAAAATTATTGCACTGGGTTGAATGATGCTGATCGGATAATACTGATAATCGATGTATATTTGAAGAAAACCCGGATTAAGTTTTCTGTTTGTCTGTTTCAGATTTGTCAAATCTATGGTCCTTTGACCAGATTTTCTAGAGTTTAATTTTACTGATTTTTTTCCAGACGATGTCAGTCTTTCGGAGGCTCACTCGTCGCCAATGCTCGCCTCCAGAACTGGAACCAAAAGCGCCACGCCTAGTCCGGTGGCTCCCGGATCCAGGCGAAAAACTCTTTCGGTATCCAGCCAAGAATGGCCCACCAACGAAGACGATATTGATCGGCTGGTTTCTATGCATCATAATCGAAGTAGTCTGTCTAGCCTTGGGGTGAGTAAATTAGGAAAGAAATTTCGATGCAACGTAACACCCCTGAAAACTCCAATGGGCGTTTCAAAATTTAAGTTCACTGCCAGTAATTTTCTCTTCAAAACAATGGAAGTAAGTTGACGGTAAATTCGTCAAAAATATTGCATTATTTTAAAGCCCACCATCAGATTAGTCAATTGTTTTTGTGTAAGAAAATCAAGAAGAAATGTTGATGCATTGTAACACCCCTGAAAAATGCATTGCCACTATCATGAGTACTCAAGGGCGGATCCAAGGGGGGGGTTATGGGGGTCAGGACCTCCCCATTCGGATCGGATCGG